GCTGCACAAAAACATATCCGGAAAAATAAATAACACAGTAGAAATTCAGCTAAAAGTAATAAAAAAAATAATAATATGCATGTGTATACATAAAATCAACACTCTACATGGTGTCAAAAGCCAAAATCCAAAGAAAAGAGGTGGGTCTTAAGAAGAGTTTTAAAATGTGCAGAGGCAATCAATCCCAAAGTTTCGGAGCTGTGACGGAAAATGTCAGGAAAGCACATATTTCCAGTATAAAACTTTATTCTAATTATAATTCCACTAATGCTTATTTAAAAAGAATGCTTATTTTTCCTCATCAGATGGTTATCAATTTTTATGAATTCATATGATGTGATTTTCTGGAATTTTCTTTGGGATTTTGTCTTTCACTGTTAGAATGTACATATGATTAAAGTTATAGATCGTTGCATTCTTTGTAAGTGGGCAAACCTGCAAAATCAGCAAGGGCTGAAATACTTATTTATTCCCCCACTGTATCTCGAATAAAATAAACCCCATCTTTGTTTTCCCCTTCCAAAACTACAACCTGCTACTGATCCATCACTGTAAAATGCAAATTCCTGTTTCAGCCTTTTGTTCATGAGAGCATTCCTACGCACAAAAAAATACTTATTTCCCCCACTGTATATAGATAAACATTGACTGATTGATTGATTGATATTGTGATGATTTTGCTATTACGGTGTGTTTATTCAGTCGTTTGTTTTCTGTTTCCAGGTGCACAGTCGGACAGCGAGCTTTCCTCCCACCACCCCAGTGATGTGACTTCAGACCGGGGCTATACTTCGGACTCTGAGGTCTACACCGAACACAGCAAGATCCGCATCCCCCGCTCCACCACCGACGTGGACGTGGCCACCAGCGGCTGGCTAGTGGTCAGAACCCTTTTCGTGACCTTTTCGGAGCCAATCAGGCTGAATTCCTTCAATGTTAGATGACCTCATTATCAGAATCAGAATCAGGTTTATTGCCAAGTAGGTTTTTTTCACCTACAAGGAATTTGCTTTGGTGTTTGGTGCACAACACTTCTATGAGAAACAAGAAAGGACATACAATGTAGAAATAAAAATATAGAATAAAATAAATCATAATAAATAATAAAATAAAATATTGAATGTCCAACGACAGCCGAAAGTTGTTGCAAAAAACAGGGTAAAAAGACAGAACAAAACAAAATAATGCGCACCAAAACACAGTGGCAGCCTTTTTCGGCGCCGTAAATGTCCTTAAAACAAATCCTGCCTGGATCCACTAGAGCAGTGTTTTTCAACCTTTTTGAGCCAAGGTAAAAAAAAAATTTATAGAAAAAATCTCGAGGCACACCACCAACCAGAAATGTCAAACAAATCTGTAGCCGCCTATAGTAACACTATAGTTATTCTTATCTTATTCTTATCTTATCTTAAGTTGATTGAATAGGAATCAAATAAACACAAAAATGTATTTTTATCATATTTTATATTTCGTCTTTCAAATTGCACTTAACATGTCCACTTCAATATGCAAAATTATATACAAAATCTAGTCATAAGGAATTATTACATGATTACTCCACCAGTCACTAGAACAGCACACACACTCAGAAATGGCATATTATTTACAGATAATTAATTCCTTATCAAAAAGTCTTTTTAGACCAATGAGGTGAAATAGGATGATTTTCTACACCTGACCATCACTAACGGCACACTAGTGTACCGAGGACCAGGGGTTGAGAAACACTGGTCTAGAGCCTCACATTCTTTTCTGCCATTATTATTTTTTTTACTGTAATCATTTTGGGGCTCTTTTTAGACATATTTGAAGTGTCTGGCATTTTAGTTGATGGTCAATGATGCATTATTATGAAAGAATATATATATGTGTATGTATATGTGTGTGTGTGTGTGTGTAATGTAGCATTATTTTGGCCACTTATTTTTACCACATATTTTGACCTATATATATATATACATATAGTTTTTTATGTATATATCTATCTATATTATATGAGGAATTTTGTATATATACATATATGTACAGACATGTTTATACATATATGCCGCTGTTTTATTTATGGAGCCAATACCAAAAATAATTTCCCTCTGGGATTATTAAAGTATTTCTGATTCTGATTCTGATTTCTGGAATGGTCTGATGTGTGTTTTATTGATTCCCAGGTGGGCAGAGATGACCTGGAGTTGGGTAAGACCCTCCCAGTGAGCTCCAAAGCCCAGCTCAACCACCCCCTGGTCAACCAGTACAGCCTGACTCTGGGCCAGGACCTGGGTCAGCACGACACCAAGTCCCTGATCAAGTGCGTGGAGACGCTGTCCTTCATCGTGCGTGACGCCGCCCACGTCACCCCCGACAACTTCGAGCTGTGCGTGAGGGCCATTCGCGTGTTCGTGGAGGCCAGCCTCAACGGAGGTGAGAGATTATTGTCTTCTTTTCACCTCTTAGGACAGACGTAAACGTAGAAATAGAGTGGGGTTGTCAAAAGTATCGATACTCAAAAAAGTATGGATACTAAAATGTTGTGTCCAGATACGATACTCATTTTCAAAAGTATCGATACTAAAATGTTGTATCCAGATACGCTACTCATCTTTGGACAGACATAAACATAGAAATAGAGTAGGGTTGTCAAAAGTATCGATACTCAAAAAAGTATCGATACTCAAAAAAGAAGACATTTCTGTCTTCTTTTCACCTCTTTGGACGGACATAAACATAGAAATAGAGTAGGGTTGTCAAAAGTATCGATGTTGTATCCGTATACAATACTAATTTTCAAAAGTATGGATACTAAAATGTTGTATCCGGATACGATACTCATTTTCAAAAGTATCGATACCACCCCTTCTCTCTGATTTATTTATGTATTTATTTACCTTGTTTATGTTCATTAACAAGACGTTAGCCTTGAACTGCTAGCTGCGGCTAATGGCTAATAATAACATGCTACCATTGATCAAATACGTCTGGCTTCAAACTCCGCCCACATCCAAGTCGGCCATTTTGATTAGGTCACCAATCAGAAGATTCCAGGCAAGAAAATCGTAATTGCCTCATGGCAATATAGACATTAATTTAAAAATGGTGAAAATAATCTTTCAAACACTTAATTATACTCTATAAATATTATTATGTTAAAATAGTGGATGTTAAATAGGTTTGTACAATAAGTCCAAACAAGTTTAACCAGAAAATATTTATTTCTCACAATTATGAAGGCTGGAGGGTTAGGGTTAGGGTTAGGGTTATTAATGTGGGCCACCATAACATCAGTAACAGGTCAGTTTGAAATGAAAGACACTAACCTGTCAAAATTCAGTTAAATTTTGGGGTCTTTGTTTTTATCCTTATGGTATCGAAAATGGTATCGAGTATTTTCCTGAGTATCCAAATATAATCCAATCATTTTCAAGTGTAAAATGATGTGCTTAGAGCAAAAGGGATGATTGGAATATTCTTTTAGTTTTTTTTGTTCTTTTTTTCTGTTTGTTCAGTTTATTTGATAGTCTTTGCTACCATTTGTGAGTCCTTTTATGTCTGTTTCTAATCATTTTAAAAGGTTTTTGTTTCTCTCAGTTGGTCTTTTAGTGACTAAATCTTCTCCCTCAGACCGGTCGCAGCAGAAAATCCAGCTGCTCTGCGTCTTTTTTGACTCTTAGTTGGTGAATTAGGCTGAAACAGGAATTTGCATTTTACAGTGATGGATCAGTAGCAGGTTGTAGTTTTGGAAGGGGGAAAACAAAGATTGGGTTTATTTTATTCGAGATACAGTGGGGGAAATAAGTATTTGAGCCCTTGCTGATTTTGCAGGTTTGCCCACTTACAAAGAATGCAACGATCTATAACTTTAATCATATGTACATTCTAACAGTGAAAGACAGAATCCCAAAGAAAATTCCAGAAAATCACATCATATGAATTTATAAAAATTGATAACCATCTGATGAGGAAAAATAAGCATTCTTTGTAAGTGGGCAACCCTGCAAAATCAGCAAGGGCTCAAATACTTATTTCCCCCACTGTATTTATGAGCTGAAAAATGCAAAATAGTCCAGATATGGCTAATTGATGCTAACGTCATGAGCAAATCCTCAGCTCCCCTGTGTCCAGTGAACATTAGCTCCTCCCTTTTTTTGGTTTATCGGAGATTTCCAATAAGATCTGTTTTTAAAAATGAATCCCCCTAGCCCTAGCCCTAGCCCTAACCCTAACCCTAACCCTAACCCTAACCCACCCAGGTTACCGGAACCACGACAAGAAGAAGAACTACAAGTACGACCCCTCAAAGTCCCGTCTGAGGAAGAAGGCGGCGGGCCGGGAGCGGGACGGTGGGGGGGGGGGCGCCCGCCGGGCGGGGGGCCGGGCTGGAGGCCAGCGGCCCGCCCGTTGCCATAGCGACGAGGAGGAGGACGAGGGCGTGCCGGCCAGCTACCACACGGTGTCATTACAGGTTAGTCAGGACGTAAGTACAATAACCCTCTTTTCCCTTCTACTTTCCC